AAGAAAAAAAAAAAAAAAAAAAAAAAAAAAGAATGAAAGACGCAAATGAAAAAAGGGAACATAATAGAGAGAGAGAGAGAAAGAGAAAGATATTACGAGAAAAAGTGTTACAATCCCTTGTCTCTGTGGAAAGGGGTACTACTTTAACAACAATAACATCACACAAGTACAACCACAACGTTGTCTTATAAACCTTACTAAGGACCCTTCCGTCGAGTAGGCTGCTTCGGTGAAGTCAGAACGCGTGAGATTGCTGCACTGGTCGCTGCAAGAACTGACAATCTATCCACTAAAGTGAAGGTGGTAATGTCATCTTTTTTACAACGAATTGCAAATACAATAGCTTTTCTTCCCTCACCCCAAAGTCCACATTCATTCTTTACCACTAAGGACAAAGCTTCTAGCCATTCCTCTTCGTCTGCAATAACCTTCACATCCCAACCCTTTCCGGGCAGCTCGTTCACCACTTGACGCACTACCGCTCTACAGAAAGGAACAATTTTTCCGACACAGCGGCAGCAGGCTTTGAAACCGTCCACTTCCTCAAGCTTAGTTTCTGAACAACAAAAGCGACACTCCATCCATGGATAACTCAATCCCTTTGAGACAAATAAAACAATAAGAAAAGAAAAACGGTTCAAATATTCTAAAATTAGAGTTAATAATTGATCCGTCATTCTCATTTCGGGGGATCTGCTGATATTGTCAATGCATGAATTTCCCCTGATAACAATTCATCTTTAAAAATATCATTTACCATACGATGTCGCTTTATAAGTGGGAGATCCTTAAATTTATTGGACACTATGACCACACTATACTTGTGATCCTCTTCACTCAAGACAGTGACTTTACAAGATATTGGTTCTAGATTTGAACGAATCCGATTCTCCATTTCTGTTACAGTGACCATCCTTCCTTTTTTTTTCCAATTTTTTCTCACAAAAAAGTCACAAATATAAGCAAAACAAAAAAAAAAAAAGTATGGGAAAGAAAGGCCTTCTTTCTTATCTTTAACTGTAGCATCCCCCTAGATGTCACGTGCTCAACGTTTAACGATTACACGAACTACTCTTTAAAATTCCCACGTAATCTAAACCATTCTTCTTCAATGACTCAACAAACATATACACACACAAACACAAACACAAACGCAAAAAAAAAACAGAGAAAAACTTTAAAAAATATAATAAAAAAACAGGCTACATCCTCTGATAAAGCGTTTTGCCTACTTCTTTAAGTCGACGACGATTTTCACACTGTTCGCGCCTTCGTGTTGACACATCTGCAGACCACGTGCGGCGACTAAGAGCACATTCAAGCAAGATATCAGTTGAGACCTGCATATCAGTCAAGCGTTTAGGTTTCTGTTGCTTGCATGGCAAAACAGGTGGCACGGCAGAGTCTGTTTCCACCTCCATTTCAATCTCAACTGTTGAAGTAAAGGAATGTGATTGAGGGTTTACTTCAGTCTGTAAGCCATTTAAATTAGATGAAGGAGACGGAGAAAAGTGAATATCTATTTCATTCGGTTCATCTATTAAATTACGCAAATCATCTGCAGCATTTAAAAGGTTTAATAATGCACATTTCTCAGGCACAAGTTCAGAAGCAAAAATGGGTTCCATATGTTCTAAAGAAGAAGAAGAAGATACTTGTGACAATGAGGATGATCCAACTCCAGAGGAAAAATCCGCATTTTGAGTGAGCTCACGGCGAAGAGAAGTAGTATGTGACATTTCAACGCCTACGCTTCTGGTTTTTTCTTTTACTTTTGAATTTTGAGCAGACCATAACTGAAGTTTTTTTCTTCGTTTCTCCTCTGCTAGAAATTCCGCCTCACGCTGCATTTGATCCTTCTTCTTTGAGGCCATCTGTCTTGTTTTAGCCACCTGAAACAATCTTTGATGTATTGAAGAGGAACTCTCTTTTCTTTTATAAGGATTTACTTTCGGTACAAAAGTTAGTTCTTCATTTAAGTGTGGCTCTGAAGGAGGCAAAATTGAATGCCACAACTGAGTTCCATGAGTTTCCTCATATTTATCTAGAGCGATACAAAAAACATCCAGGGAAAGTCCATCTGGAAAAGTTTCTCCTTGTAGTGCATCACGAATTTTTTCAAAAATCGCACATTGTGGTAATTCTTTTGAATTTTGGTACTGACACCAAAAACGGTACCACTTCTCTAGTCTCCGTTTTCTTGCGCATACACTTAATACCTTCGTTGTAGAGCTAAGCTTAGGTTTAAAACGTACATCATCTTCGTTCTCTAAGTGATAACATTTTGACTTTGGTTTACCTTGAGTAAGTCGATTTACTACATCCTTTGAATTGACATGAAGTGGTGTCTGATAAGTATTCTTTTCCATCTCGTCACGTAGTTTCTGTAATGCAAGCTTACGTTTCTCCTCACTTAAGTAAAGACCATCAACATGAGCTTTAACATCATCTAGGGTTCGAACGACTACAGGTTTTTTTGGTTTTTCCTCTTCCTCCTCTATTCTACATCGACGACGTGCCGAGTCCATGTACAATCGTTCACTCGCTGGAATAACTGGAGCACTTCCTCCTCTAACTCGACGAACTATATTTTCAGAACCCTTAGAAATCACAGGAATTGGACGGCACTGCTCATTTCTCTCAGATCTCCATGTTTCAAGAAGAAGCCGTTGACGAAGGTGTGTGTTATGCCTGTAGTATCCAGAGTGACTACTAGAATGTCGAACAGATCTTCCTCGTTTTGTAATAATTGGTTGAAACGTACAATTTTCAAGTTCTTTAACCTGAGCTTCTCTAATGGCTTTTAGATTCTCCTCTAAATTTTTTCTTCTATTAATACCTCTATAATACAATTCTGCTAAAGGGTTCTTACGCTTCTGGAGGACCCGTTGAGGGTGAACAGAAGTTACTTTGTTATCAGGGGCATTATCATGGATAGGCTTTAAAACAGACACTTCCATGTTTTCATTCCCAATTTCACTCGATACGGTATGATTTGGGAATGTAGAGAATGCTTGCAATATATCTTTTAATTCCTCCTTCCGTATATCGTGAGAAGACAAGGACTTGAGAAAGTCCTGTTCAGCATTTAGAGAGGAGAATTTTTCCATTAAACCCAGTGTTGACTCAGGAGGCACCTCATCTACTCGCGTGGAGAGAGACGGAACAATCTCTGATGTAACCGACAGTGAAACACAAGAAGACTCTCTTATAAATGAATGTGGTAAACTTTCATTACAAGAACCTCTCCTATCACTGGGAGCAGGCTCATCACGTTTTTCATCATGTGTATGCGCAAGCTCACTGCTTTCCGAAGTAGTATCTACCAAAGCAAACCTCTTTATATTTGCTGTTTTGATTTCCTCATGTACACGATTATCTTCTTCATCATCATAATCATCGACATTCCCTCTAACATCACTTTTCTCGTCACTATCCTGTTTTGCAGAGAATGTAAAATGAGTAACTTCCTTAAGTCTCTTCTGATCTGACATCTTGTGCGCCTTTAAAATAAGAGTAATTGTTAAAAAAAAAAAATAAAGGTAGAGTAGGCGGTGTTAAGATTACATAGCAATTTTTTTTATTTTTTAATCCTTACACAATGAGGCAACCTCAAAAATAATAATAAAATATATAAATACATAAATAATTTAATAATAAATAATATCAAAATAACACAGAGCAAATTTTGCTCTATTGCATTCGACACGAGATGATTTTTGTAAAAAAGACGTCTAATTACCATCATCATAATCCGTCGCATGCAAAACAGGTAGTGAATCTTGTTGTTGTTCAGCAGAACTCGGATCCGTGGCAGGAGGTGTTGATGGTCGAGGAAGAGATTCCCCCTTCTCAACATCTTCATTTGTCTCGAGAATGTTTGTTGCACTTGCAACATCATCCACTGTTTTATTCACTTCATTTTCATTACAACTTTCTTTATTTAACCTCTCAATTTCTTCTTGAAGACTTTTGATTTTTAATTCGTGTTTCTCGTTTGTTCTTGATTGTGTATTTAACTGACCACGCAGTTTTCCAAGAGTAACTGAAAGTTCCGCCTTACTTTTCTTCTCCTTTTCTAGAGCTTCCTGAGTTTCCTTTAGCTCTGCTTGTAGTTTCGCGATTTCTTCCTGATTACCACCTGTAGTTGGGGCATTAGGTAAAGGTGTTGCAGGTACAGGAACCGTTGCCATATCACGGGATGGTTTCGAATATTCATCATCACTTTCCGAAGAAACACGTTTTCCGCCCCTCTTGCGTCGTGTCCCGGTTTCATATCTATGATTTAACCTTATTTTATCATCCTTGCGTCGAATTTCATAAGGTGAGTAGATTTGAAATGCCTTGAACGCAGCAAAACCACCTATTAATGCCGCACCAATACCAATAACATAATCCCTCCAATCTACTTCTTTCGCTTCATTATGTGTTTGGGGAAATGGAGGTGGCTGAGGAGCATAAAGTGGTCCCACATGAGTTGAGAGATAATTCTGACGCGGCGGCAAATTAGTCGCATCGCCAATCTCATACCTTGAAGAGATCTGTGAGTTCCCAGAATTTCGTAGCGAAGTATCAGGCAGTTGCTGACTCATTATTCTTTTGACTTCTTCAATTAAATTCGACTGTCCAGCTTTTCCAAAAGCCTCACACACCTCATCAGTACTCAGGCCCTTGGACCTGAGGAACTGCACCTTATTGGCGATTGGTGTGTGTCGAACCCGTGGGTCATGAAGAAACTTTACGGCGCTTGAAACGCGCTTTACCTTTTCTGCTTCGTCATTTTCTACCCGCTGCTGAAATTCAACTCCGTCCGGTGTGGAGGCCGTTTTGGTATTCATGTTACTTAAATGGCTTAAAATAATATCCCTTTTTTTTATCTATTTCGGGACATGTAAAAAGAATAAAAATTAAAAAAAAACATAGAGTGCAAGAGCAATTAGCAAATAGAAGTGAAACTGTGAAGATAAATAAAAATAAAAATCAAACAAAGGCAATAAAGGGCACAAAATAAAATAAATAAATCCATCACATCCCCAATCCTATAAGAAAGACAGAAAATGACTAAGATGTTGACTAGCTGGGTTTCTTTTCGTTGCTTTTCTTTTTTTTTTCTTCTTATCACTTCATTCATCTTACTAATTTTCTGTCTGACGATCAATAATGCTTTGGATTCGTACATGATCATATATTTCCAATTTCCCCGTAGAAGCAGAGACAATAGCAATTTCAATATTGTTTTTTGTTAATTCTTCTTCCATAACTTGTTTCAATATCTGTACAGCAAGGTTTTCTGCTTCTTCAACAGTCATATTGCGGTGATAACGTTCACTGAAAACGGTTTGTGCCGCTTCAGCACCAGCCCCAATTGCCTGAGCATCATAGCGAGTGTAAGTCCCGCTAGGATCAGTTTGCCAGAGCTGCGGCCCGTTTTCATCAACACCAGCAATAAGAAGAGAGACACCAAACGGCCTGGACATAAGTTTCTTTCGTCCTCCACTTTCCCCAAACTGGATAGATAAATCGCACGCAGCCAATGCACATGACTCAACACACATGGGTTCATCGTAAGTAAAACGATGATTTTGAGCCTCCACACGAGCATGCTCAACGAGAATTCGTGCATCTGCAACCATGCCACTTAACACAGTACCAATGTGATAGTCAATCTCTAGAATCTTATTCATGCTGGAGGGATCGACCAGTGTGGAGGGAATTCGTTTCTCAGCAGCAATGATAACCGCATCAGGAGTCTGAATACCCAGACTTGTGCTGCCCAACTTGATTGCCTCAATGGCGTACTCAATTTGAAAAATTCGCCCTTCAGGGCTAAAGGTATTGACACCCCTGTCATACTCGGATTTGGAAGAAAACATTATAATCTAATAACGACAACGACTGCAAATAAAAACTAAGAAAGAGAAGAAAAAGGGGGAAAAAAAAGATAGTAGTAGGTACAAAGAAAAACCGTATGTATATGAACATCAAGATGAAATGGGAAAATGGTATCGCTGTATAAAAAAAGAGACAACCACAACATGGAAATAAGAAAACAATAATAATAATAATAATAATAAAAACACCTCTCCTTTGCTAACCCTACTTCAGTTCACGAAGGCGACGCACAGTAGAACGGACTGTGCTGTTGTTAGGTGTGCTCAGTGTGTAGGCACCACCCGCCATTGTCTTGCTGCAGCCATCACAGCGCCAGATGCCAACAGCCTTTCGGCGGAAGGCAAACTTACCGCAGAAAGAGCAGAAATGCCTCGCGTGCTGCGAGATTTCGAGCTTCTTGGCACGCTTCCTTGGGTTCGCACCATAGCGGGCACCGTAGCGTCCCATGACGCCCATCTTGATTGTACGCTTCGACATTGCAACTTGGGGTTAGCTTTATTTTTTAAAAAGAAAAGAAAAGAAAAGAAACAGGGAAAGCAAAAGTAATAAAATGAATTTTTGAGAAGAGAACCATAATTTTTTTTCAATTAGAAGAAAATAAAAAAATAAATAAAAAAATAAAATAAAATAAAATGAACAAGCAAACTATAAATGATATACATCAAGTGTAATACAGTTTAACCCTTATAATACACGATTGATCTAATCAATCGACTGGAAACCCACAGAGCGTTAGGGTACACAAAAAATGAGAGATAAATGCCTCCCGTTGTATGTATATCATAACCTCGCAGGTTAAGCACATGTACAAAATAAAAAAAGATTGCCCATGAGCATAAGGAACCCAGGGCTAGCAACATAACATTCTGACACTTTACATGGAGAAAGAGTAACTGTAAAGCAACTCCTGAACCCATGATAAGACCGGCAGCTGGCTGAAGAATAATAAGAAGACAGAGCACCACAGCATTTATTGTCAACCAAGACAAATCCCAGTCAAACGTACTCAAGATTATCAGCAGTAAAATACTACTTAAAAAAAAGCCCAAAGTTTCGAACCATTCTGTTGCAATTGAAACAATAAAAGGAGTTATCCATATTATCATCACATATGGAGAAAGATTGAGACCTTTTACCTTATATATAGAATATCCTGTAGAAAGAAGAGATGCTACAAGTAACATAATACCAAATTGCGCAATATCATACTCAATATAATGGGTTACACTCAGAGGAACCCATACAGATGTAGAATGATGAAACCGTTCGTCCAAGTAGCTTAGTGTTGCAATAATTTGTTCAAGCATTGCAACCATAGAAAAAGCATCGGATCTATTATAATTTTCATCAGATTTTACAGTACTAATAGAGAGAGAACTAATACCGTGAGATCTAAAACTATGCCATGGCTGAGGGTATTGAGGAGCGATTAAAGCTGTTTGTAGAGCTGTAATATAATGTTCATACATTGATCGACTCAAAGAATACGTAGTATATGGATTTTGACATAAAACATCAACTTTCAAACCCCATTCCTTTGCCATTGAAACTGCCACATTGAAGAGATCCTGGTTGGGTTGCATTCCGTTCTTACCATAGACACCGAAACATAAATTGCGTGTATTTAAAGAAGAAACATTGATAACAAGTGCTGAACGAACAAATGAATTTGGAATCGGCCAATCTTTATCAGTATTAGCAACAAAATAGAAATGTGTATCACAGGCCATATTTTCCCTTTTCCTAAGAACAGCAATTAATGCATTTCCTAGAATAACAGAGGCTTTTTCAGCCTTATTGACATAAATAGCGATTATTTCTGAGCCCACAGAACGGCGACCGTGAACAATACGGTGACTTTGATGCACTGTAGTATCAGGATGGGACATATCAGATAAAGAGATCAGTACTGGAATTTCTCCAATACTAACAGCACTCTCATCAATAAAGTTACGCCTTGGCTTTATAGCTGGTATACCTCCTATTAGGATCAATCCCACCAACAGCAGAAAAGGAGCAATATGACCTCCACGTTTTTCAAGAATACCAACCAAACGGGAACGACGCATCACCTATTAATAAAGAGAATAATGCTTCTATAATCAACACAGATATCAAGGCAAAAAAAAGAAAAAAAAAAAACGAAAGTGAATATCATTCTCCAAAAAAAAATTGAAAATAAATCCAGGTCATTCACTAAGCGATAAATTCACATAGGTAACAAAACTTCTTTCCACTAACTATCCTACTAAAACCAATTAAAACCCTACTGGCATGTACCATAATTTACCTTATTGGCAGTGTTATTCATAAGAAGCGCGATAATAAGCCCGTAGAGTCCAAGCGCTTCTGCGAAAATCAACATGAGAATCATGGCCACAAATATCTTTTCCTGTTTACCGTACGCACGAACTGCGGCATCGCCAGCAATTCCAATAGACAATCCTGCAGCTAGAGAAGACAATCCAGCAGCCAGGCCAGCACCAAAATGCAGATATCCAGAAAATGCTGAGTAGGACTGTGGTTCAGTCTTGATGTTGTTGTTGATAATTACAGAAACAATCAGTCCATAGATACCAAGAATACCAGCCATAACAACAGGCACAATACCACGCATAATTCGTTCAGCATGAAGGATACCAAGATGAGCCACACCTACACCAGACTTGGCTGTACCGTAGGCTGAGCCAAGATTAGCGAAAATCAGTGCCGAGGCACATCCCATTGAACCAAAAAAAGAGGCTGACTGCGGGTATACATCGGCACATGATACTGCAGCGGCTGCAGTCCCGGCGGCGACAAGAGCGCCACCAGCAAGGAATGCCACACTCTGGGATTTCATAATTTGCGAAAATTACTTTCTTTTTCTTCTTACTTTCGTTGTTATGAGACCAAACTCAAGGGAAGAAAAACATTTTGAAAAACACGACAAAAAAAAAAAAATAAATATAACAAAAAAAAAAGAAAAAAACAATAACTAAAGTAAATATTTTTTACACACCTCCATACAAAATAAAAATAAAAAAAACCTTAACAGTACTTTTACATACCCTACTGGCATGTACCATAATTTACCTTATTGGCAGTGTTATTCATAAGAAGCGCGATAATAAGCCCGTAGAGTCCAAGCGCTTCTGCGAAAATCAACATGAGAATCATGGCCACAAATATCTTTTCCTGTTTACCGTACGCACGAACTGCGGCATCGCCAGCAATTCCAATAGACAATCCTGCAGCTAGAGAAGACAATCCAGCAGCCAGGCCAGCACCAAAATGCAGATATCCAGAAAATGCTGAGTAGGACTGTGGTTCAGTCTTGATGTTGTTGTTGATAATTACAGAAACAATCAGTCCATAGATACCAAGAATACCAGCCATAACAACAGGCACAATACCACGCATAATTCGTTCAGCATGAAGGATACCAAGATGAGCCACACCTACACCAGACTTGGCTGTACCGTAGGCTGAGCCAAGATTAGCGAAAATCAGTGCCGAGGCACATCCCATTGAACCAAAAAAAGAGGCTGACTGCGGGTATACATCGGCACATGATACTGCAGCGGCTGCAGTCCCGGCGGCGACAAGAGCGCCACCAGCAAGGAATGCCACACTCTGGGATTTCATAGTCCGAGAACCCTAAGCAAAGAACAAGAACTAGAAAAACAAAAAGAAAAAAAAAATACATTTGCCCAATCCTTTCCTTCTCGTTTTTTTTTTTTTTTTTTTTTTTACACATGTATGGGATGCAACTCAACAAACATCTCTTTAAAAGAGATGACATAATAAAGGACGTTTATCAGTGTAAAAAGAGAAATGAAAATAAAAAAATAAAAACACGAGGGTAATCCATGAAGTCTTACTTCTTTGCCTTGAATACGGCAACCTCTACCTTCTGCGCGGCAACCTTGTGGTCGTGACGGCTGGCAGTCTTGCGCTGACGAGCTGCGCGGCGACGAGAGCCAATCAACCGCAGGTATTCCCTACGCTCCTCAGCGGACTTGCGAACCTTCTCCATTGCGACCTTAACCTTCTTGGCACGGCGAGCCCTAATCGCAGGTGTGATCAGACGCTGAACCTTTGGAGCCTTAAACCGGTCCTTCTTGCCTTCCTTTGAGACCTTTCGGCGAACAACGTACTTTCGGACGTCGTCATCGCGAGAGAGGTTAAAAAGTTTGCGAATGTTGTTCGCACGCTTGGGACCCAAGCGACGTGGAAGAGAAACATCTGTTACGCCTTCAATAGGTTGTTCGCCAAGCTTCTCGATAATGACGTTAAGAACGGCAATATCATGGGCTAAAATGCAGCCACGGAGAGACTTTCGGCGGCGCTCTCCCTGGTATCCACGGAAGGCGTTAAATCCAACGGCGCCACGCTTTACAAGGAGGGGAACACGGCTTGGAGCCATCACACCCTGAACCATGGGAAATCCTTCCTTGTCAGAACCACCACGTAGCTTAAAGGTGTATCCCTTAAATGCAGCACCAAAAATAGCACCGTCGACGGAGTTTCCCAAACGGTAATCGCCAAGGTTAACACGACGAAGAACATCGTCGGTCACCTCAAACTGCTTTACCGTGCCATTCCGCGGGTATGCGATGTTAAGCTTCATTTGGAGCCCCCTATTATTATTAATTATTTTTTTTTATACAAAAGTCAGAGCAAAAGAAGAAACAGTAGTATTCAGAAACAAAAATCAAAAATAAAAACAAATTTTAAAATAAAAAAGAGGGAATCACAATATATAGAGGAAATGAACCAACTGATAAATACAGAAGTCACACCTACAAATCAAATATAACGACGAACACGCCAGCGCTACGCATGCGTTGCCTACCTACGTTTCACCCCTACTCTAGCGAATGATACCTATCAAATGTGTTCCATTCATTACTCCTACTTTATTCTTCCTCCTTCCCAGAAGTTGTTGCGCTGAACGCCCTTCGTTGTACTTCCCTCTAGAGAACTCATAGCAGAAAGAATCTCAATAAGTGCTGCAGTGATACCAAATTGTCGTGTCTTGTTATACAATGAGCTGGTTCGCTGTTTCAAAGAGCTGATATTCGTCAACTGACCTTCAACAGCAACCAAACGTGCAGCTTGTTCAGAGAGTTCATTCTCTGCGACAGCATTCAGAATTGCAAGTGAGGCATGAAAATCATAGAAATCTCGGATAAACTGTTCTTCCTCATTTTGCAGAGCATTAGCAAACAAGTAACGGCTTTTTTGGTTGTCGGTACTAGCAGCATCAGCAAGATCTTCCTTCCATTTCTCATATGCTGGAATATTATATATAGCGTGTTTTTGAACACCTGCAGAGACAAAACGATGAAAAATGACTTGATAGCGGTCTGCATCCTCGACAACAGCGTGAGCGTTCTCCCAGATGTAGGTCGCATAAGCAAAGTGCATCGCCTCCTTCATATCGTTAATAATACCATATTTGAACTCGCTGGGATAAAGCTTGAACAGCGAATCAATTCCACGTTTACCAACGGGCATCAGAACCATTTTGCTCGAGGCAATAGAATCAATACACCGTATAGTATTACTGTTTAGAGCTCCACAAGAACCTCGATTTGTAGTGATTGGAATGTATACCAAAGCGTTCTTAGCAGAGGCTATAGCCTCCCTCTCATTTGCATGGGGCTTGCTGAATGCCTTCTCAGTATAGCGAAGTGTAAAATCACGTGTTCTTACACGAGTTTGCGCCGTCCTGTACTTCGCCAAGGTAACCATTTTGATCGTTTTAACGATCGAGTAGAAGCGGTTGTACCCCTCAAGCTTTTCCTTGTAAAGACGAAGTTTTCCAGACATTGTTTCTTCGCAAAATCTATAAAGATAAAGATAATATTAAATTAAAAAAAAGAAATCGAAAAAAAAAAAATATGAAAGTCAACTTTAATGAAAAAAATAATGAAAGATACAAACACCTATTTACTTAATTATTGTTTTCTTGTAAAACTGAAAAACAAAAAAAAAAAAAAACAAAGAATCGCCTTTTGGGTTACTTTTAGGAATCTCAATGACTTCATGACAGAATCCAAAGGCTTTTCATTAACGCATATTATTTTTATCTTTATTATTGTTATTTTTTCTTTTTTACTCAGAGTCGTCTTCTGCAACCCTTGGGCGCTTCGCAGACTTTCTTGGGGCTTCACCATACTGAACGCCCTCTGCGTTAGTTTTAACACCACCGTAGTCGACGTAGTACCAATCCGATGGGGTGTTCGCTTGAGGGCGACCATACTTGTCCAAAAGACCATCTTTCATCATTGATCGCTTCTTTACAGCAATTGGACCAAGTCCCCACCTTCTTGGGTATGTGTCACGGTCCATTATGACACGTTTGCTTCGTGCCACAATACCATGATCAACAGATGCCATCTGTGATGTTGACATCTCAGCATATGCGAGTGCAATAGCTTCACCTTTAGTGGAGATCAAAACAACAAGATCATCTCTCTCAATTCCATTATCAAAGCGAGATAATCCAGGAATCATAAGTTTGGCACCGTAGCATACAGCATTTACAGCTGAATCCTTCACAACTATCCGTTTGTAATTCGTAAGAAGGTATTCACAAGGGAGAATAACACGGCGCAAGTAGGATTCATCCTTCTCATTTTCATAAAGCCATTGTGCATCGAGCACGTCATGCATTGTTGAAACGTGATCATCTTCACTTATTACTCCGGTACGAATACGACGAAGTTCTTCCATGTGTCCACCCGCACCAAGTATCAGACCGAGATGCACACAAAGTGTTCGAATATAGGTACCAGCTTCACAATGAGTTTCAAATACGGCAAGGTGACGATGTTTATCATACTCAATAAGACGATTGGAATAAATATTTCGAATACGAAGCTGACGTTTTACTGCTGCAATTAAAGGAGGTCGCTGAAAGCAAGGTCCCGTAAGACGTTGAAGAGCGGCAACAACCTTTTTCTCACTCACAGAATCATGAAGGCGCAAAACACCAACGTAGGTTTTTCCAGCGTTTTGTTGCGATTTAACCAAACGTGTTGCACGATCAATGCATATAATGAGTGCTCCAGTCACCTTGGGATCCAGTGTACCTGCATGTCCAGTTTTCTCACACTTCAAAATACGCTTAATCCACGATACAACCTCGTGAGAACTAGGATTAGATGGTTTATCAAGATTAATCATACCATATTTTACGTATTCCTTTAGAGGTCTCCTGAGAGGAGACCATCCACAATCCAAAACAGTGAAGTGCGAAGAACGAACATTCATTTTATCATAATTTTTCAATAAAAGAGGCCATTGTTCTGGTGATAATGTACTTTCGTCACTTTGACCCTCCTGGGGAATGCGAAATTCCTCACTGCGTTGAAGTTCCCCGAGTTTTTTGCTGCTCATGAATGATATTCTTGCCCAAGAATTCCCTCCTTATTCCTCCCAATGCTAAAATTGTGGAAATGAGGTATATATATATATATATATATATATAAACATGCAGAGGGAGAGAAAGAGAAAGAGAAAGAGAAAGAGAAAGAAAAAAAAAAAGAAATATGGAGACCTAAATCACATTCCATAGGAACAAGGGAAAACGAAAGATCTTTGTTCCCATTTTCCTTATCTGCCAAATATATATAACAAAACTAAACACAGACACACACATACACAGTGATCTATTCATTTTTTTTTTTTTTTGAATAATTCTCTTTCCAACGTCAAACTCAAATATGAGTTATTCGACGTTAATCACACAAAAAAAAAGAGGATCACAAATTCACCAATTCTTCGCAATTATTCTGTGATGCCAAGCGGAATGCCTCTCGAATGTCTTCAGCTCGGAAAAAATCTACACTTCGTCCAAGATTGTGCGACTCAAAGGGATCACGCACCATGATTGTCTCGTAACCCAAAAGCTCCCATCTCTCTTTCTCTGAAAACTTTTTCATCTCCTCAAGCCATTTTTCCTTTGATAACCACTTATCTTTTGTCCTAATATCAACAACATCAATATCAAAATCAAATTTAGTGCAATCACCAAAAAAACTAAAAAATCCTCGTAGATCTTCTAACACATCAGATACCTTCGCATCTCTACAAGGAAGGACATCAATAAACTCTGAGCAACAAGTACCAGTTGTATCTGAGAGTTGTGTCGCAATAGGAAAAAGTTTACTGTCAACATCAGTTTCATTTATTACAGAAACTGTTCTTTTAGTAGTCTGCATGTAAAATATATACATAACAGTTAACGCGTAAGGGGAAATCCATCCTCGTCGAGCATCAAGAATCCCTTTAGAACGACCCCACTTCTTTGCACACAAAACACCCGCCCTAAGACGCGGATCAGATTCCATGTATAATCGAAGCAATAATGAGTTCCTAAGGCCATCTAATGAGAGAGAAATATCAAAGCGAATATCTTCAGATTCAGATTTTTTTATTTTCTTTAGACGAATAATGGGGATACGAGCGGTAAATATTTGTTCATGCTTTAAATCAACAGAGAGATCACGTTTCACGATATGTTGTAAAATAGAAGACAAAACCCTTTGATGATATTCACGCCTAATCTCAAGAAAATTAGATGGCGATAATGTTAACTTTTCTAATTTTGAAAAATCATTAATAGATGTCTTTGAAGGGAAAACAATAGCATAATCAGCATCGCCGTCTTGAAATGCAGTACCGGCCACACTTGATCCATAAATCATTACACAAGGAGTTGTACCTACGCGTGGAATATCAAGAACACCTTCCAGTGAAAAATCCTCTAAAATACCTTGTAACCATACTCGATTTTGAAGAAATCGGGCATGATCTTTGCGTGTCAGTAGCAAAGAACTGAGCCTCGAAGAAAAAGACATATTTGGTATTTTTTTTTTTTTTTAGGAGGAAAAAAAAAATAATGAGAGTCTACCCTTGCAATGCAAATTTAATCCAAAGAAAAAAAAGCAATTTTATCGGCGCGAAAAAATGAAAAAAAAAAAAAGCAAAGATATCAAATGAATAAAAATAATAATAATAAAAATAATAATAATAACAATAAAACTACAGAGAATCGAAAAATTCCTCAAGATTATCCCCAACAGTATTACTAGAAAGCAAAGCATCTTCGGCATTCCGGATCCGTTTTCGATACCTGTCGTCAACCACATCTTCCTTCTGCCTTTTACGTAATGATCTCGGCAAAATCTGATCGGCCTTTGTCGGAAATCCATCCATTACAGTTGATTCAGTAATTGTACTAACAAATAGATTATCACAATCTTCTGAAGAAGAACTACAAACACTTTGCTCACGATCCAAAGACTCTTCTTGAGGTTTACTCGCAGAAACAGAATCATTACAATTTCTACGCTCAAGATCCCTTATCAAACGCTCCACCAACCTTTTTCTCTCACATTGATGCGGAGCCAAAAAAGTAGCTCGATTAAGTGAATCCAGCTCTGCTCTTAGCTTTACTATATCCTCTCGATCCAGTCTCTCATTCCATTTTCGAATTTTTTCAGACTTCCGCCGATCTTCTAATTCCTTTTTAGTCAGTCGAAAACCATGACGACGTGCTTCATCTGAGCTCATTTCTAAGCTTCACAAAAAAGAAGAAAAAATTAAGAAAAAAAAAACAACACAAAAATAAAAAAAAAAGAAACAAAAAAAAATGTATAAACATACATTATATATATAAACATAAATAAATAAATAATATATATATATATATAATCATTATAGAGATATTAAAAAAAAAAGAAAATAAATAGATTTCCTTTTACTTTCACTTGCGACCTGGTGCGAATTGATACCACCAGGCAGCAGAAAAAAAAAAAGAAAAAACTCATAATAAGACATAGAAAAGAAGAGAAAAAAAAAAAAAACAAGTCGTTCATCAAAATTTTCTCTAATAAATATTAATAAAAACAAAAAAGTACAAAAAACCAAGTTTTTTTCTGATTGAAAAAGAAGAAAAAAGGATAAAAAAAAAGGGAACGGGAGAAAACAGGAAAAAAAAAAAATGACAATTTTCATTTACTGTACCAGACCTTTTACAATGCTGAACGTCCCCACAACCATAATGACGATTCCACAGCAAATGTAAAGGTAGGAACGTGCTCGGGCAAAAGTCAGACGTCTTCCAAAAAGATTTCGTCGCCAGTACTTCCATGTCATTCGAGGGGCCTCAGGATCCTCCACGCTACCTTCTACAGAGAAGACAAGTAGAGGAGGTAGTATCATAATCATGACAGTAGCTGGAAGAGCTCCAATAAAGGCAACAACGGTATTTACCGCACCAGATCCTACCCCCATCGCAATACCGTAAATAATAAGGCTTATACCAATCCGCAAAAGGATTCCCTTTAAGGAACGTGAAGGCCATCCCAAAAATGAATCAAGCTGCAAAATCCCAGGCATAAATAAAATGGGATATGTACAAAATATATTTACAGTAAATGCCACACGTACAACAGTAGAAAGGGTATTCTTAGGAAGGGCATCAACTAACGATATCTTAAGATTATCACCGTAGGCAAGATATCCAGTTAATCCGTAGAGTAAATACCATCCAACCACCAGGTAGAGTACAATAGCAAGCATAAGAGGAAAACGTTTTTTGTTATTGCATGCATTTTCCACAGGTAAAACAACTCCAATACCTTCGAGAAGCATCATGCTGTTAGCCATATTGTTAAACCAACCAAAAGGTATGTCGTTACCCAATGAAGTGGCACTTGGTTCTATACCGTCATTGTGAAGTTTCACAAAAGTCTGCACAATCGTAGTAATAAGCGCGAAAAACACACAAACAGTAGCAACCATAGATATAAATGCAAGAAATGAGAGATTATCGATGAAAAATATAATGGGAAAAACAGCAACAAACATTGCTGTCATCCAAACATATTCATCACCTGAAAAACGAGGCACAAGATGCAACATGGAATCTCCAAAAAGCTGCAAATATAATAGGCAAAAACCAAATTGCGTTAAAAGTAAAGCCACAAGGAGCACATAACGAAAAGGAAGACCCAGTACAAATTCACAAACTTGAGAATAGTTCATTACCTTCTTCCTGTTTATCATGTGTTTGGCACGTACAAGTTGTAGGGAACAATCCACCACACAAGAACCAATAGCCAGACCAATTATTGGTGAAATTATGTAGCCCGCATCCTTGTAAAACGTTGGCAAGAGAAAAACTGCACTGCCAACATTTCCTTTAAATATATTAAAAGCACATTTGAAAACGTTTACATTTTCTCGAATTATAACTTCCCCGTCATCTGTAGAATCTTCTATTTCATCAGGAGCATTGCTACATCTACACTCAATATCATCCAGTTCAGACGGAGATCTCTCATACTGTTTTTCATCACCACATTGGATTGAGTATTCAAATGCAGTGAGACCCATTGGAGTAGCATCAGCTGTGGAGACCTCAGGAAGAACGACCGAATTGGTAATCTTAGACATGAGTACTTTTTTTTTTAATTAGAACTAAAAATACCAAAATATAGGGTGACCAAAAAAAGTAATTATGTTAAATAGCAAAGGAAAAAAAAAAATAGTAAAAATACGAGTATCCATCATGCATAAAGGAAAGCAAAAAAAAAAAAAAAAAAAAAAAAGAATCACCATGAACGTACGATCGGATCAAATAAAAAAAAAAAAAAACCTACACACACATGTAATACCTCCTGCAAAAACAAAAGGCAAAAAAAGAAGCAATACAATAAGAGAACACAAAACAAAACCAACGTAATAGTTTAAAAAAAAGACACAATAAGATGATCCGCGGGCGTTCCCCAGAGCGTCACCAAAAAAGAAGAAATCACCAGGAATAAAATGAACGCCGCAAAACCAACGCCCCGCGCCGCCACCAAGCAGCAGCCGGAGCAGAGCGGAGGGAACGACCTCACCCGCCAAAATGACTCCCCCCGGGACTCCCCCACCACCCATTCCCGGGGCGGCGCCTTTCCCCTATCGGCCGGGGCGCGGGTATCCACCGGCGCTGTTTTCTCGACCGCCGGCGTTCTGTCGGCAGATTGTGCGGGTGGGGCGCGGGCGCCGGACAAAAGAGGCCCAAACACCCGTCGGGAAACGACCCCTCCTCGCCAACCGCCGCCACGTCCGTCGTGAAGGCTCGCCTGTGCACGGTTTAAGCGCGTTCCCCTTCTGATGTCTTGTGGGTTTCCTCCCCGTTCAAGGTGCCGGATGCTTCCTTGACCCCGCTTGTTTTTACGGGGGATCTGGTCGATTGTCCGCGTATTTTCGTCAAAAAAAAAAAAAAAAAAAACATTACGAGGAAAAGAAAAAATGTTCTTGTTATTATTTGCCTGTTTTTGGTGACCGACAGAATCCCCAACCTCTGCTTTTTTTTTTCATCGGTTGCCCGCACAAATGGAGGATGGTTGGAGAATATTGGATAGGATACCCTTTCTAGCAATCCACACTGATCGTCATTGATGTGGACTTTAATGCGCGAGTAAATCATTAGAATTTTGTTGACTGTGACGGTATACTTTTGACCACGTATACGTACCCACACTCTCTGTCAGGCACTGCCTTATTCAAGTTATAACTTTGCACGGAGTGGGAAGTATTCCTGAATTATTGGAAATGCATTTCGCATGAGGGCCCACGCACACACACACGCGGAAAAAAAAAGAAAATGACTCCATTCAAACAGTCTAAACAATTCTCTATCAATATTCTGTCGCGCCTCATCCCGTTCTTTTCTCTGATTTAAGAAGGCGCTGTGTCCAAGTTCAAAATTTAAAGTGGGGGTCTCTGGCGCCCATTTGTTTCCGATAAGTCAAAACATAAAAGAGGAGAATTTATTTGAGCAGACGCGTCCGTTACACACTTGGGGTCTCGCCCGGACGATTGCGCTGCTCACTAAACCTGCCTCCTTGGGTTGCACTCTTCATTTGCGGTAAGGGGGTAACTGTTTAGAAATGAATCTCGCTCCCATTGCTGCGGGAATTTTGCGAGATGGATAAAGACAGGTACATTGTTCCTCACTCAAAGGGGTGCCCAATTATAGCAAGTGCTGTATGCAGCATCTCGTTCGCGCAATCTTGATCCAGTATGGCGTTGTGCGCAAGTAGAAAATCCCACGAGATATCCCTGATAATGGGAGATGCCAGAGGGTGAATACCGCAATATCCGAACGTTGGAAAAGGGAAAAAGGAAACGTGATGTATCCGTGTGGTAGGCATTGCTTTTGTCAAGTTCCTGGTGTTATGACCATATTTGAACAGAACATTCCTTGTGATCTATTGCCTCGTTTTAATGGTGTTCGACCCTGCAATGGACTTTGTGAGAGGGGAGGACACATCTTTTTGAATGATTATCAAGGATAAATATTTGAAAAAAAAAGTGGATGACTGAGGGAGGCATTAGTGTGGAGAATGGTATCCACGCTACAAAGCACTGCAACACAACCCAAGGAAGTGTTGAGATATTTCATAATGCTCTCTCACCAAGCAGGTGGTACTCAATCCACAGAGTTACTGAGTGTGAATTTATTGGATTTTCTGCAGAGGGTCGTGTCCACTCAAGCATTTGGTTGTCTGTTGTTGGTTGTCTCCCTTTGATGCCTTTGAAGAGACGTTAGTGTAAGGAACTCCAATGCTGTGTTAGTGTGTTCTGTCGTTATTGGATAATTGAACTGCTTGATTGACAATGTTGTTGTTGTGTCTTTGGAGTGGGTGGGTGGGTATTTATTTTTGATTTTGGGTGTTCCTCTTTGGTGGTGGACCTTGAGGACATGATGGATATGATTGCAAGGAATACGAGGGGAAAAAAAAGAAAAGAGATACCCTTTCCTATTTGTAAGTTGTTACTTGTTATTTTTTTCCTTTTCTTGGGGTTTTAGAGACCTGGGAGAAGGTATTGCAGTGTGTATTATACCAATATATTCCTCTTGCTGTACAGGGTTGGATTGCCTACTCGAGAGGGTTGTAACTTGACGAGATGGAGCCCCCTACCAGGGGATCTTTTCAGGGTTTTTTTTTTTTCTGGTTAGCTATGACTGTGGTTTTGTTACCTTCTAGTTGCCGCTCTACGATGGTGTAACTCCTTTGGTGTAGTTTTTATTTTTCACTTGGGTTGTGTTTTCTTGCACACAGGGTGTGATGCAAAATGAAATAAAGTTTATGTTGCTCTTTTTGTGAATAGTCAGTGTTGATGTTCTTTTTCACTTTATTGCAGACTGATGGTGATGATGATGAGAGGAGTAGTATTGAGGCAATGCAGAGACGAAAGTGTGTGTTGTCTGTTGCACTGTCGCCTCTCTTGCAGTGGTTTTCTCT